TCGTTCTTCCAAAAGTTGTGAAAGGTGCTCCGTAGGGTGGAGAGGTTCCCCGCCCCTTTTGCCTTGCTCATTTTTCTGGGGGCAGGTGAGCCCTTCCCGGTTTGCTCTCTGCAGCCCGGCTCCTTTCCCGGTGGCCACGTGGCCACAGCGATGGGCTCCCCGGCCCCCGCAGGCCTGCGGACGCGCTTCCTCCCACTTTGGCTCCAGAGAACTGTGCCAGACCCCATCTTCCTCACAGAGAGCTCCTGAACGGGGCAGAGCCAGAGTTCCCTGTGCTGAAAGCCTACTCTGGTTTAGCATGGTAATTACGGCGTGCTGCTGGAGGCTCCTCTGATGACCAAATTAGCAGGAAACTCTAAAAGCTGTAATATACTCCTGACACATGACGAGGCTGGGCGAGAGGAAATGAAATGAAAATGGGTCAGGAGTGGGAGGCCTGGGCTGCAGCAATTCCCTGTGGTGCCAGGGTCCATTTAAGAGTCAAAACAGCAGCGCGTTACAAAGAGGGCGTAGGAAAGGCTCTTCTCGTTGTCCGAGCTGAGCAAACTGGCCTTTCCACGTCTCCTCCTCAGCAGTGCCCGTAGCACCTGCAGCACAGACAGCTGATGAACTGCCTCCCTCCTCGGGATGCCTCTCTGCAACGAGCCACCAGACGGCAAAGCCGAATGCAGGTCCTTAAAGGAGATCACTTTTTTATCATTGGAAATAAAATAATAAACTTATAGACTATATCTTTGTCTACAGTGAAACTGAATTTTGGTTTCTTCTAGTTACGGTGCCAAACTGGAATTATCTGGGTTTGGATCCCAGCTTCTTTTCCAAACTCCCTGCGTCTCCCTCTGTAAATGTCTTTTAAGTCTTGTCACATCTGTTTTCCCTAGAATGCAGGTAAATATTCCCTTTGCAATCTTGTCTACCGAAATAGGAAATGGGGGGTAAGATCTCTTTGCGCAGGGCCCAATGCAGCGTGGATTTGATGTCTGATGGCACAAGGCACTACTGGGAGGCAAACGTAACCCTCCTGAAACAAATAGACATGCCGATCGGGTTGGATGGAAGGGTTTTGTAGGAAATGCGGCTCTTTTGGAAACACTTGCTGCGTGCAAGGAAAGGAAACCTGCTGGAAAAGAAACGTCCCTGGGTGATACAATCTGTGTGGGATAAGTCCTCTGTTTGCAATTCCACGTAGCTGTCAAAGTCTCCAAGGTGTGATGAAACTCTCGTGAACTCCAGAATTAAAGCATTTTAGCCCCTATCGTTCAGAAGCTCATCCAGTAAAAATACTCCATGGATTCACCTGGATCGGGTCTGTAAAAAAAGTAGAAGTTTGACTATGGAAGACCTTGAGTGTCCAATGGCAAAAATGTGATTTACTTCTCACAGCAAGCACGTGAATTTACCTGGTCTGTGAGATAACAGAACCCACGAAGTGTTGGGTGTGGATGCCGGCCTGGTTATCCTTCTTTTGTCAAGTGCAGGTCATTCCGTCGTACCAAGAAAATGCTTCCTCTTGGGGAGTCTTTAGCCGGTTTAAAGCTCTGTACAGTGGAAAAACTCGAGGGGAACCCAAGGAACTTTGCACTGACAGACCCATCCCCGGGTGAGAAGACTGTAGCACCCAGACGCATCTTGATACGCTGCAGAACTTCATGACTTGGAGCAATAGCTTGATCTTTCTCTGAACTCATTTCACAGCCCCGCAAAAAGGTGAATTGTCCCCATTTAACAAATCTTTTTGGCTATAACCTTTGCTACTAAAATGAAACTATCCTTATGGGAAATCCTGCAGCATTTCAGGGTATAATTTTAGCCTTTTCCCTACTGAAAAGATGAATGAAGGATCTGAAGGTGTCAGGACAAAAAACGTACAAAGGAGCCATCCAGAATAACGCTGGCATCCTTTTTGCTGCTGCCTGCCTCGGAGAGGTGACTGGGATGCGGTTAGGGGGTCAGAGCCTGCGTGTAGATTCCGTGTCTGGAATTACTGTTGCTATTTACGGTATCCTGCTGAAAACGCAGTGATGCTCAGGTGGCCATGGTGGGAATTCTTTGCGATATAAAGAAGGTCAGGCGGGAAGACCAAACCGATACCTTCTGGCTCAGCGCGGTCGGGTTCTGCGTAATGGCAGGGCTGAGCCTGCTTCTCCCAAAGTCTGTTCGGATCATTAAGGCCAGAGTCGTGTGTGGCACATGGCGCTGTGCTGTCTGTCTGGGCTGCTTAATCATCCCCAAAGCAAGCGTTTTGTCACCCTTGCAAATAACATTTGTTTTACTGCCTGATTTGAAAAAAATTTTTTTTTTTTTTTTGGTTTTGGTGTTTTGATTTCGGTTGCAGTAACAGGAAAAACTTCCTTTGCTCAGTGATGCTGTGGCTCCTCGCATTCCGTATGTAAAGTTTGGAATTCAAGGGACTCTCTCATATATGAAAGAATGCATTAACTACAGGTCAGCAGAGTCTGTTTGTTGTGTTGTTTTAGTATGGAGAGCTATTATTACCCTCTTGCTTTTAAGGCAGGCCGCTTAAAGGTAATTATTTAGTCTATCCAAAGCCGTGCAGAATGCCAACACAACCTCTGCTTGTTTACATTAATGATACGGTGTAGAGCCACAGTTCCATGTTAACCTCAGTTTACCCTTGGGATAGCTGACTGTTAGGGAATGAAGAGTTTTTGTTAACGTTCTAGTTCTTTTTTCACTTGTCAAGGATTGTCATGTGGTTTCCCCGGACTTGTCATTCATTCAAAATTAATTCCAAAAAAATATCTTTTTTTTTTTTTTTCAATTCCCCTTTAGGATTGGAATTCCAGAGTGTTCTATAACAAGCCTAGAAACCATGAGCCTGGATCTATTTTTTTGCTCTTTGACACAATCCCGTGCATTTTCCCACGATAATGTTTGTAATCAGTGTGGGAATTTATACCAGGGTTGAGCCCTGAATTGTGTAAAATGCCTTTTTTTTTTTTTTTTTTTTCCCTCTCAGGATGGAAAGGCAAAGGATGGTACCAGGGGCTGGCCTTGTTTGACAGTGAGCCGGGAGGTGGAACTCCAGCAGAAAGAAGCAGCAGCCTGGCACCACCTCTGAGAGCTGCGTGCTTCTGGGGTGTCTGTGAGCCTGCCGAGATGAAGGTGTCCCAACCGTTGGGAAGGGGAAGTCTCGATGCCTTTAGAAAGTTGAGCCTAGGTGACACATCCAGTGCCAGTCTTGAGCATCTGTGGCAGAATCAAGTGAACCCAAATCAGCAAACCTCCTCCCAATTAAAAAGGTAATTGGTGGTATCCTGGCCTGTCAGGCACCAGGCTGTTCCTCATCAAACACCCAGAGGCCTTGCAGTTACCCGGAGAGGAAAACGGAGGGAGGGATTTTTCCACCCAATGGACACAGCATGTAATTACTGTAGGCACAGCCTGACTCCTTGTCTCTATTGCTCATGGCTGCTACGTCTAAGAATTCCTTGATATTCAAAGAGAGCCCTAACCACGTCAGGTTTTCGTAAGATGATGACATGATGAAATTCTGTTTTGTGCCTGTATATTATAGCGTGCACACGTATGCTTTCATCAGGTACTGGAGTGTAGTTTGCTCTTCTCTGGTACCGTGCACCAGAGGATGTCTACAAATGGAATTATTTCGGGATACTTATCCTAAATAATGCCGTGTAGGGAAACCTGTATTGTAGCACAAAAGCACCTTGCTCTCCTTTATCATAATCCATTTTAAACATGGATTATGCTGACGCAGGACGGGACGCTCCTATTTTGGAATAATTTTGAATAGGAATACTTTTTGTGCTTTCAGCTCACACCCTGCATTATCCAAAATAGCTTTGAAGTGTAAACAAGCCTCTAATGTGTCTCTAGCATTTTCATTCTGCTCCCTGGCTCCTCCTTGTTCCGTGGCTCTTCCTTTGGGAAGGGCCAGAGAGCAAAACCAGACCTGCAGAGCCCGTCCTTTAGGTCTTTGCTTTCACAAACTTCATTCCAAAGGACATTTCCAATCTGATTCCCAATTTAGATGCATCCCTAAGCTTTTGAAGGGAGTGTTTAGATGCAAGTTTCTGACTCTGAGCCATCCCACAAATTATGTTAGCATGTAAAATGTTTCCCTTCACGCTTTTCTGAAAGGAAGAAGGGTTTGTATTTCTAACCTCCTGTGGTCCCTTTTGGGACCATTTGGTTATTTTTTCAATTATCAGCAGCATATTCTGCCGCCTCCAGAGAAAACTGCTGGGTACAACCCCGAGAGGTCCAGTCGAACGTGTGCTGTGAGGACTCGGGCCCGTGCCCACCTGCCCAGTCTCTAGCCGTGCCGAGCAGCGGGTGTGCGGGGAGGACAGCAGACATGCTCTCCAAGGTCACCCCTCTCCCACCATGTCAGAGGCCATTGCTCATCTGCTTCCACAAAACACTGCAGCCTCTCCCTTCTGATCGGTTATTTAAATTTGCTTCCCGGCCGTTTCACTCGGCGTCCTGCCTCTAGTTCCGGTGTCGTCGTTCCCCGTTTGTATTCCACACCACTCTTCCCCACGCCCGTGTCCTTTCCACTCTAATCCCTCGGTCTTTCCTCGCCCAGTCAGTTCCCACCTGAGATCTCCCTGGCTGCTTTTCTCCACGGCTTTCCCGCTTGGGCTGGCCAGATCTGCCAGGGGCGTTCAGCACAGAGCAATACCGTGGAAGCACACGTATGTCACGCAGCGTAATCTCTCTTCTGGTTTGTTAATCCTTTTTTTTTTAACAGTTCCCATCATTTTGGTTTTTTCTAAGCCCCTGTGGGCACGAGGTGGCTGGGTTTAGTCCTACCCATAATAATGCCACAAGCAGCAGCTAATCTGGAGAACTTCATTGCATATAGATTAGTAGGGTTAGTTTATCTGCTAACTAATCGCTCGTTGTCCTGATACCATGAGGTCCTTCTGCAGCTCTTCACAGACAGGTTTAGATTTGACTATCCTGAGCAGTTCTGAAACATCTGCAAACGCATCGTTTCATCTCCAGCATCACCAGAGGCGCCGGCCGGCTGGGCTGCGCCGGCCTCTGAGATCAGGGCATCCACCAGCTCCTGTCATCCTCTGAGCTCTGTGACTGCACCGAGCACCAAACGTCAGCCACGAAACTGGAGGATACGGTTTCTTAAATCTATGTAATATTTCAAGATACAACCACAGAGGCAGAAGGCTCCTTGTTCACAAAGACGATGGAGGTGCTTTCTTCAAATAAAAAGAGGTTTATTGAGATAATGAGAGTGACATTGTGGTGTGGGTGTTGTACATCTATTGCAGCATTAAGAGAAACAACAGCAAGTACAAAATCCTGCAGAACTTCTATAGTCATTATCATCACAGCCTATCTTGTCCATGCTACGGTTTTGTGTATCCAAAACTTCATTCCCATTCCTAATGGCAGAAAATCCAAAGACTTTCATCTTTTTTTAAAAAAACAAAACAAAAACAACCCAAACCAAAAAAAAAGGCAAAACAAAGAACCAACTCAATTTGATATAAATAACTTGCACTGGACATTTTAAAACTTTCAGATTTTAATTACACATAAATAAATATATACAGATTTAGAACAGTTCAGTTTGGCCTGGTTCAAGTTCTGCTCCTTGTGCTTTAGCAATTATTATTAATTTTAGAAACTTGTATGCTGTTATCTGTGGGTTGTGGAGTTTTAATTAGTCCTGGGTTTAACTTCACCTGCTTTATCCCCAGCTGTGGCCGCAGCAGTGGGGAAGGCTCTCCTGGCTCCCTTCCTGCCCTGGGAACCGTCGCCTGGGCGGTTTGTTCCTCCCCTCGTCGGGGCTCCTCAGCCCGGGGGAGAATCCGCCGTGAGTCTCAGTTTGAAGACTGTAAACGAAGTCTGAAACTGCTTTAACCCCAAAGCAATTCTGCTGGCGATTTTCTCGTGGCCTGGCTTTAGGACTGGGCTGTAGGTGGGGAAATGGGAAGGTTCCCTCTGTGTCTGCTTGTCAAAACCAGCTGATCCATCCGGGTACAGCCAGCGGTCCAACTCCCTGCCCTCTGCTGCTCGTGCCTCTGGTTCTTGCATTGATGAGGCTTTTGCTCTTTCTTATCATTTTTTTTTTTTTCAGTTGGAACCAATTCCCGGAGCACGTCAGGATTTCACTATGGGTTTTTAAAAAAACAAAACAAAATAAAATTGCACATGATTTGGCTTCCTGCATCCACAATTAAAAAAAAAAAAAAAAAAAAAAAAAGGCAAAACCCAAAAGCCATCAATCTGGCTTAGTTTCTCATTCTCACTATGTCCGTTAGAGTTGTTTTCTTCTTAAATTCTTTAAATCTTCTCTTTTTTTGTCTTTTCTTTGTTTGCTTTACGAGTTTCATCCCAAGTTCAAATGTAGCAGTTCAGAAAACAGTGCACTGGATCGTCATTCCCACCCTGCGCTATCTACGGCAGCCGGGGGAAGCTCCCACTGGGCAGGGGGAGGGAGACAGCACGTTATTTCCGATGCTTCACTTCTTTTTCTGACGCTTTGGAGTCTCCGGCCGTGTGCCCATTCCCTGTGCTGTTCATGAACATTTTATCCAGCCCCTTAAGGGACTCTACCAGGTAGTTCTGGAAGGCTGTGAGCGCTGCGCAGATGGCTGGGCCCCCAAAGCCGTGGGTTATCAAGCTGAAATGAGTCAAACAGCTCTGGACACCGGGCTCTAAGATGAGTGAAGGGCGGCTGTTCCCCAGCGGTGAGCGATCCTGGGCTATCAAGTCTGCAAACTCTTTACAAATTTGCCTGAAAGAGAGAGGTTTGTGTTACTGGAAGTGCTGTTAGACGGCTGCAGGGACATAGGGGTGTGTTGGGGAACTCTTTTCCTGCTCCCTGCCCCAGCAGCTGCCTCCCCGCCTGGAGTTTTTGGCTCCAGCCTGGGGAAAGCCCCTGGGTGCAGAGTCGGAGCTGGTGCTGCTTTGAAGGGGCACGTGTGGCTGTGCCCAAAGGCTCCCCGGGCTGAGGTTAACCTCTCCCATGGGCGAGCAGGCCCTTCAGTCCACCTAACTAGTCACCTCGCTGCACGTCTGTCAGATCCGCGTGCAGCCTATCCGACCATCTCTTCCCCACAGAAGAAAGCTTTCAGGGCTAAGGCTGCCCTTCCAAACACACCAGCGGCTCATTGCCATCTGTACTCACTTGGTAGCCAGCAGCATGTTTTTCCTGGTGTGCAGCTCCGTGGGGTCGGAGTGCTGTCGGCACAGGTACTCTGCCGCCGCCTTGGCTGGGAACTCCGTTTCGCACACGTACCCAAAATCCCGAGCCAGGTGAACGGCTTCGCCTGCGAGCAGGACAGGTTAACAAGCTGTGTCAGTGCCTGTGTAAAGGGAGGGGGGGGGCTTTCTGCAGCAGCTCCGGCTCTCACTTCCCTTTCTCGGGTGCCACCCAAGAGCTCGCCCCACTTTTGGCTCTCGCGCTGCTGCGGAGACACCAGCGGGTTCCTTATACCCATCTGTCAGACAGCCTGCGTGGGTCCGAGCGCAGCACTGACAGCTCTGAACAGAAGCTGGTCCCTTTGCTAGCTTTTAAAAAGGCATGAGGATGGTGCTGGAGCTTGAGCAGGATGAGGTGTGAGTCTCTGGGCTACTGCTCCAAACGGAAGAACAGCAGAGGTGTTTCTCTCTTGGGCACTTCCCTTTCTGCGTCTTTCTTTCCCTACTTCTTCCAAAATTTCCTGCTTGGCCTCTCCAAATTGAGCAGAGGTTTAAACAGGGGCTGGAGGGTGAAAAAGCGACCTTAACCCTGTGACCACTAGACAAAACGGGGTGGAAGGAAGGGGTTTACACCCTCCCGCAGCGAGCAGGGGCCCTCGGGCTGGACGCGCAGGCAGCGTATCCATCACCCCGCGGAAATGCCCACCCACTGATGGAATTGATCCATCCCAGGCATCCCCGTGGAAATAATCAGAGCTGATGGCCATTGATCATGCCCAACACCCGAAATCCCGGTCGGGCAGGCAGAGCTAATTTGACTTGCCCCCCTGCTGCTCGCACGTATTAGACCATCCATCCTGAGAGCATTAACCTAGATCCCCTCCCAGGCCGCCCCGCTCTCGGAGCTCAGTCTGGGAAGCCACGTTATGGGGAAAGTGTCCCTGCTTCCCGTATAATGATAATACTTTCCACTTCGTCTCCTCCAGAGAAGGAGCAAAGAAGGTAAACCTGGAGAATCGGCACTGCAGTTGTTTGTATCTTAAAAAAAAAAAAAAAACAATCACAAAGTAATAGCTGCTGGAAAACAGTTACGGTGACAATAAAAAAGGGCTCTGTGACCTCATGGTGAGAGCCAAGGCTGGAGCCAGGATTTATTTCCTCCGTGTGTGTGTGAGTAGCTACACAGCCGATCGTTTTAAAGGCAGTTTGGCTGCTGGCTTAGGGAGGTTTCAGCGAAGGGGACGAGGAGAGGCTGGGGGAGAGCGCGCCGGGCAGGAGGCCGCGGCAGGCAGAGGGGCCGCAGGAGCCCGTCTGGACACGCACCTCTCTCTGAGAGTTCAGGTGTTTCTGAAGCTGAGCTGTGGCCCTGCTGCTCCCCAGGGCCCGTGCTGGAGCTCCCGATGGAGCAGCGGCCCAGGAGAGGGCAAGTGCTCGGTGTAGGTGGCAAGGGCTCCCACAGGCACCCGCAGCCCTCCCTGCGCTTCCAGTACCCATTTTCCCCATCTCCAGGAGCGGCTCCGGGTCGGTGTGAGAATAAGTATAGCGTCCACCCAGTGTTATTTTTAAATGAACAGACGTTGGAAGGCAGAGAGGGGAGAAAACAAACTAAACCAGGACAGCGAATGTCCAAGAAAGAGGGTGCCTGGGGCACAGGGGCACAAGCCAGTTTCTGCCCGCTGAGTAATGACAAAGCAATAGCACCTTCCTCCGGGTGAAACAGCTCCCGGTGCCGTAACACTTACGTGCAGGAGGAAATTATATCCATCGAGCACACATGGCACCACTCTTTTATTAGCTGGGGAGCAGTAACCAAAACATCGGCAGCCACCTGAAATCAAAATGTACATTTCTCCCTTCCTTCCTTCCTTCCTTTCTTTCTTTCTTTCATTCTTTTCTTTCTTTTCTTTTAATGGAAATCAGCCTTTCATTCAGCACAAACCAACTGCCCTCAGTAACAACCTCCGCCTAATGAAGCGGGTCATTTAATTTGCTGGCAACAATGGAGATGATTTTCTATTCAGAAACTGCAGGCAGCTGCCTCCAACACGCTGGGTGCAAACACAATGGATTCCAAAGCTCGAAGGGAGTCAGAGCTGTCATTGCATTTGTTTGCACCCCGTGTCCTTTTCTCCCAAGACGCATCATCATTTCCATAGCGCAAAAAAAAGGTGGAGGGGAGCGAATAACCAAGCGGCTTGAAGCAGGGGCACCTCAGACGTCAGGGCAGGGCGCGTGCTCAGCCCTTAACGCCGCGCTCCCGGCGCTGCTCCTACGAACGTTACCTCCTCCTGCGAGACCTCAGAGCTGTGCGGCATCTCCTCGATGTCTCGCTTGTCTCCTGCTGTCCCAGGGGAGGAGGACAGGACTCGGAATCGGGGCAGCTCCTTATAGGAGACAAGACCCGGCCCCGAGCGCGGTGACAGAACCTGGACAGAGCAGGTTGGTGCTGCCCGAGGGCGACAGGGTCGGCAGCACCTCAGTTGTGCCCGAAGTGGGCACACGGGGCTGCAGAGCAGCTGCTAAATTCTCGGCAGCTTTATTGAAGCTTTTTTGTATTTGTTTTCTGTGAACCCGACTGAGCGTTACTAGAAGCAGTTCACAGGAGCGGTCGGTACGCTTAGCTACAGCCGAGACGGAGCTCGCGGCCCCGCTCAGGCTGTGGATGCCTCTTCCCCTGGGATATGACTCGTCCAACAGAAATGTCTGAGTTTGGGGAGACAGACATGCTTGAATCAGCATGGAGACTCGCACAGGGACGTTTCCAGTCACCGTCGGTGCTGACCGCCGCGTACTTGCTTTAAGTGCTCTTGTTTGTGGAAAGCTGTGAATGAAGGGTGTTGAAGTTCTGGCACTCCCGTCCTCCACGGAGCGGAGAGCGACTCTTACCTTCCACGAGGGACGTCAGCAGGGTGACGTTGGCAGCTTTGCGCCTTCCCGCAGGTAGATTTAGTCCGATTTTCTCTAACCTCTCCCTTAAACACCGACCCCCGTTTTTTGATTTTGCTCTGAAAAGCAAAAACAATGAGGGGGAAGAAATGATAATGTAATCAATGTTAAAACCACTGTAACTAATTCCAGCTTAAGCTTTTAGGTTTGGAAGGAAAGAAGAAAAAAAGCAACAAGAATTCTATTCCCCAATATACCACGCTCCAGAATTTCTCATCTCCATTAATCTGAGAGGTAAGAGCTGGTGCTGAGCGCGAGGCTCGCTGCAGCCTTACCCCTGCCTTCAGCACACGCCGCAGCCCCACGTCCTGGGGCTGGCCCAGAGCTCTCAGGAGCCTCTTACCTGCGGAGGACTCCGCCGAGGAGAGAGGCGTTGAGACACTCGGGGGGCGAGAGCCTTCTCTGCACCTCCCCGACGGTCACCTTGTACTTGGAGGTGGAGCTGAGAAGGGAGAGGCGCCCAGGCACGGAGCAGAAGACCTCGTTGGGGTTCGTCACCCCTCCGATCAAGCTGTCTTTGTTCATGGACAGGGTGGAAATGGTGGTGCCATTGGCCTTCGAGGGAATGGGCACTGGGAGACAAATCAAAGAATAATAAAAGAAGAGAGGTGGAGTGATGACACTAAACTCAGTAAAGGAAAAAGAATAAATGGAAGAAGCCTGGCCTCTGCTCTCGCCCGCTTTCCCACGCCTCCCGGCTCTGCTGTCATTAAGCCCAAGGTTTGGGGCTGGTCCGAAGGCCGAGGGCTGTGCCCAGCGTCGCCGCCTGGCCCTGGGCCCAGCCTCCCCTCCCTGCCTGCTCCGGGGCTGCGGTGGCAGGGCCAGGCGCTGCCTCGTCGCTTGGTTCCTCTCCGGGTTTGGGGCGGGATGGCAGCTGCAGCCCGGCTCCGCGCAGGCCTGCGGCTGCGTCCCACGGGCCAGGGGCTGAGCTCC